CAAAACTAAAGAAAAAAAATAAAAGAGTGGATAGATATAGATTGATTCATACATCTTATGAAGTATAAAGTACACACTCATAATTATTGCTATGCAAGATTAAGAGAATTTTTTGAGATAAAATTATATGTGATGATTTATTATAAATTATTGAATCTTAAATTTATATATGTAACAGGTTTGTGTGTATTAGTTTTGATTTTTAAAAAATTAAAATCTCAACATATATTTAAAAATTAAAATTTTAATTCAAAATTTAAAAATTCACCATATTAAATGTTGATATTTATTTGAAAATTAATTATATATTAAAACATAATCAATTTTTAAATTTAAATATCAATAATTAAAAGAATAAATTTTTAAATTTTAAATTAAATTAAATTAAATAATTTAAATTTATAATTTAAATTTATTTTAAAAATCAATATTAATATGCAACTTTTTCTTATATAATATTAGTTAAGAATTAACTGTGTACCCGTGAGATTTGTATTTTCCTTCGAAACAATTAAGAATATGACAGGTGGCTTGGATCAAGATGTCTGGGTGGTGTAGTTGGTTATCACGCTAGTCTCACACACTAGAGGTCCCCGGTTCGAACCCGGGCTCAGACATGCTTTTTATTTTTGTTTCTGAAACCCTACAGTGGCCCATTAACTTTACCAGGCCATAAATTGAACCAGTTGGGCCCCGCTTAGCCCAATCATGTGTGGTTGATTCGTTGTAAAGCGTGTACCTCAAACTTCCAAAAGGGCGCGTACGGACCCCTCTCTACGCTTTGTACCGCTCAGTCACCGTCTATCTCGCCGTCCCCGTTGCTTCCAAACAACGATTATCGCCGACGCTGAGGCCCTCTCTAGGGCTCGATTTCTGCACCAAATTTGGGCTTCCACAGTTCACAAGAACCCAAATATCTCTCTCTGAATCACCTCCGCCGCAACAAATCCAATCTCTCTCTCGTTCGCCGTCTGCTGTTTTTGGCTCCGTCTTTCCTAATGGACGAATCTCACTCCAATCTTCCTTCTAGTCATTTGCTCGGTTCAGTGCCTGTAAGCATCGATTTCTTTATGAATACATTTAATTTTATTCAGATAGCTGCTTTGTGAAATTGAAATATTTGAACCTGTTTTTTTGGCCTAATTTAGAAGGTTAGACATGAATTAGTTAATTGAAAGTTTCTTGATCTGTTCTTCCTCTCACTGTTATCTTATGAGTTGTTTTTGTGATTATAGGCAGTCGTGAATGAAGAGACGAAGAGCACGATTTATGAGGGTATCGTTTTTTCTTTTTTCTTATTATTATTCTTATTTTTTTTTGTTAAGTTTCTTGTTTTTTTTGTTAAAAGTGAGAATTAGAAGCAGTGGAGCTTTGATACGGATCATTAAGCTTTGATTTTGAACTCTTTCAGTCCCAGAAGCAAACATGCAAATATTCCCACCAAACAATGGAGGAGCAGGCGGCAGTGGGCTGGGTTATCAGAGTCTTGGAAGTCCTACTGGTATGCTTTCAATTATTTGCTTTTTGTGAATTGAAAGGATCTATTGAACATAGTTAAGTTTATTTCGTGCTTTGAAGTATGTAGGAAGCAAAACTTTAGAAATGTCTGCTGGTAGGATTTGGTCTTGAGCATTTCTCTTCATTGCAATTTAGCATAGTAATTATTTTCATTCTACTATTTTGGTGCTTAGAGCAACTCTTTATGTGTAAACCTTATGTTGGACAGTTATACCTGTTTCTTTTTAGTTTGAGATAGTTTTAGAGTCATCATCATATATTACATTGTCAATGATGTAATCCATTATCCATGGTTTAAATAAGGACAATTCATTTCTTTTCTTGTCATTTTTAGATAGAAAAGGTTTGTTTAATTAAGAGAATGGGGTTTCAAATATATGTAAATTGGCGATGATATGTATTGCAAATTACTTAATGCCGCTGAGCTATCCTTCATATTTAATGATTCCTCTGTCTATTTTGTGCAGAAGGCTTTGAACAGCAACCAGCAAACAACTGGAAGGGAGTTTTCAGTATCTCATCATACACACAATATTTTAATGTGGACACCGACATTGTTCTCAACAGATTGCTAAGTTCTTTCTATGCTACTAGTGGGGATTTTTTCAATAAGATTGATGCCAACCCTGATCTGTAAGTTCTGCATCTTTTACCAACTTTTAGCTGCTACTTTGTTAAAAGATAGACATTCATTTTCACTGATGCAAAAATGTTTTCATAAGGGAACATCACTTCATCGTTCTTTGAGTGAGGGATTATTGCTACTTTAAGAAAGAATATTAATTGTGGAGGATAATTTTGAGGTAAGACATTAGGAGAACATATAATTTGAAAGTCAATGTAACTAGGATAAAAAGAGAGGATAACATTCAATAACCAGATGCTTTATTCTCCACAAGCAAAAAACATAGTTTGCAGAAGTTAGTTGTTATTAATACAGAAACTTGCAATGGTAACTAGTTATTATTTATTTTTCTTAATTTTTTTATTATTTTTTGCAATAAAAAGCTGCCATAAGGAAGAAGATTAAAAGCAGAAAAGGGGAATTGCATACTGGACACATTCTTTCTTCCTCTGCCTCAGATAATTTTATACTACAGGCTTAATGCAAAACTTTTAGTACTACATTTATTTGGCTTTGCTTCTCATCTAAGAATATGCAATGCTGGCTTGGCACAACTTCCTGTAGCTGTGAAAATTTAACTATTAGAGAAGCATATAGATCAAAATCTTGGGGGAAAAGGGGCAAAGAGAGACATAGATTAATGGCACTCTGGGAAAATGTGCATAATATTATGAAATTTTGATGATGCAACAAATGGACAAGTTGCTCATTGGATCTAATAATTTTTTGGTCTTGATTCTTGCTACATGATAGTTATGGGGCTATCTGGATATCAACTACACTGGTGTTTCTACTTGCTGCACTTGGGAACTGTGCCACGTATCTTATTGAAAAGCACACTGACAGCAGTACCTCTTGGAGTTTTGATGTCAGCTATGTGAATGTTGCTGCAGGAGTTATCTATGGTTATGCAATTGTTGTACCAATGGCATTTTACTTCATACTTCAGTATATGGGTTCAAATGGTAGCCTCATACGATTCTGGTGCATGTGGGGCTATTCTCTCTTCATTTTTGTTCCCTGTGCTGTAAGTTTCTACCTTCTAAATTGATCTTTTCTTCAAAGGGGGAAAACTATCTCTCTTTCTCTCTCTGATTTTAGTAAGCCCTTAAATTCTGGATACCTCAAAAATAAAAATAAAATAAAAAAGGAAGGAATGTCTGCTGAATCTTTTCATCTCTATGTTAGATGCTACCCTTGAAAATTTCAGTCCCTGGGTCCCTTTAATTGGTGAGCACCTAGGGAGCACCTACACAACCTTACAAAACACAAATGATTTCATGTGCATTTTCATTGTACTTCTGTATGTAACTGTCCTTTGGAGAACCATTTTTTTAGTTCATGTGTGTACAATCTTCTAACGTATACTTTATTAAATGTTTTCAGTTTCTATTGCTTATTCCAATTGAGATTGTCCGGTGGATCATCATACTCCTTGCTGGTACTGCCTCATCTTCCTTTGTTGCGTTGAATCTCAGATCTTCTATGGAGGCAAGTGATCTTACAATAATGGCAGTTGCTTCATTCTTCTTGCAACTGGCTCTTGCTATCTTCATCAAGGTCTGGTTCTTTCCATAAACACCACTAATGCGTGGCCTAAGATACGAAATTGCTGTGCATTCTCTGGCTTTCTGCTTCTGAACAATATGACATAGAATGCTACGGAAAGATATGTTTCTCTATTCGGAGTACATGACTGGGTGCATTGTAGTTCGTTGGTGAATTTTGAAACTTGGGAGTCCAAAAGATTATTTGAAAAGATTGGACACCTTTGATGAGTTTAGCAATTTTTCTGTTGATCTTAGTGGCCATAGGTGGCCTGCAGCTTTTAAGCGACAAACATCATCATATGAAAGTCGTTGCTAATTAAATGCTGTTTTGAATCTCTGAACATCCTTTTTTACTGGTTTTGTAAATTATAAAATGCCTTCTTAACGTTGTCAGCTGTCATCTGGTTTGGTATGAAAACTATGAATCCAAAAATGATCATGTTTATCTAGTCCATTGGCGTCTGATCTTTACTGTAACTGGCTTTCTAGTATTGACAGTTAACGAGGATCATGAACCTGAAGGGATTATCTTTGTATGGTCTGAGCTTCCCTGCACCTAGCTATCTATGCAATGTGAGAAGGGAATATGATCCAAAGCTACTGAAATTTACCCTGGATCTCGACATTGTATGGGCTGGGGCAAGGTAGATGCCTCCCTATGGCTCGAGCCTGATCCTACTTGTGTCACATTATACAAACTTTATTAGGTAATTAGTAATTTAGTCCTACATATACTAGTTAATAAGTACCATTTGATTTTTTAAAAAAACTAATGAAAAAAATATACTCACAAATTTTTTAATCAAAGAGCGAGTGACTTGACCTTGATTAAACTAATTAAGAATATTTTGACTGCTAAATAAAAAATTTTAAAAATAAAAAATAATTAAAAGTTATTCTGTGTTTAATTTAAACTTTTGATTTTGATTGCTTGATTGATGGATGAATATTATTGAAGAAAGAGGGTACATTCATTTCTTTCTTTATTTCAATATCCTGAACCTAAGTGGCTAATTTTCCAACTAATTGTCCAAGGGTATGCAAAACAATTATGTTATCGCACCGATCCCACCTTTTATAGTGTTCACGGGTAAGTTGGAAATTATACTTCCTCCGTCGACTTTAATATATATTAATAATAAAATAAAGATATACTAATTAATTAATATAATTTTATATTTATTTTTAATTAATTACAATATTGCTTAACCTTCTACTCTAATAATAATAAATAACAATATATAATATAATTATTTTTAAAAAATAAAATAAAAATAAATGTAACATTAAGAAGAAAAAAAAACGAAATCAAAAAACACTCTAAATTAAAAATTAAATTCACTAAAAGTTGAGCGAAGCGATCAAGCGAATGTATGATTTAGTGAACCTAACAAGCCTGTGTACAATACAAATTGTAACCCCACCGTCCCTATCACGTACAGCATATGGATTAACAAATGTAAGATAATCAGCTAATTCCAATTGCAATGGCACACGGTATTTGACAAAATTTTCTGCTCAGAGAACTTTTTTTTTTTTTTTGAACATTTATCCTTAGAGAACTTAGTCAAACACTACCGCTAGCTACTAATAGAATTCAGTAGAGTTTTTTTTTTTTTTTTTTGATAAAGGTAATGGTTAAAAAGTTAATTTGAATTAATTGTTAGCAACTGGAAATTCGATCCCTAAATCGGGTGAACATTCCACCCCCTTAAATGAGGCACGCGGTCATCGAGTTACTTTTTGATCACCTCATCCAAACACTTAAAACTTAAGAACGAACCATTAGGCTTAAAATACGGGTTCGAATTTAGTAGAGTTAGCCTTTAGGAACATCAAAAACTTAATTCTAAAATCAATGACATGATTTCATATCCTAACTATAATTAAAAATTAATTTTTTTTATAGATATAAAAAAGTACTAAAAAGAATACAACTTAATTAGTACTTACTATAATTATAAAGGGTTTTATTAACTTAATTTGTACTTTAATGGATATAATTAATATTTTTTTATAATTAATTTGTATAAAAAGGATAAATATTAATTTTAATTTAGTTAATTAACTAATTCAAATTATTTACGTATTAATAATTTTGATTTAATTAATTAATTAATTAAAATTATCTATAATAATATTAAAATATATATCAATCTTTACAAATTTTTATGTAAATTAATTATAAAAAATATATTTATTACACTTTTAACATGTAGCTTAAGAGTCTATATTAAATAAATTCAATTATGAAATCTTAATTTAAGATAAGATTAAGAGTTAAAATGGAGGATACCGTAGATTGGGAAGCAACGAATCCATGACCCTTCAAAAATTTTCAAAACCCTTAAATTTTAACTAGCATTCTATTTATTTGCTCCTTCATTAATTTTTTTTTTTGATAAACTCCTCCAATAATTTTTTAAGTTAAGGTTAGAGTTTGTAAGCAATATATTTCTACTATATGATGTGGCATAACGTTGATAATATATAAATTAATATTCATTCACTTATTTAATATTATTTAATATTACATACTCAAAAAAGTATTATTATTCATAAAGAAATGAAAAATCAGAACGTTACAACATTCAATATATCCATGATAGTTATCCGTTAAATGGACCCTAATGAGTTTTAAAGATATGGTCTACTCAATGTGGCTGTGATATACATCCTGCGTGTCAAGACGTTTTAATTTTCATATTTTTATTATTTATATATGTATTAGTTGTATAATTTTTTATATTAATAACAAAAATTTAAACTAATTGATATGTATTATTAATATTTTTATTAAATTTTTTTAATATTTTAAAATTATATTAAACTTATTATTATAGATGCACATCAAATTTCATAGAAAAAGCTCTCTCATTCCTTCACTAACAAAATTCAAATTTAATACGTAAAGAAAATCCAACTCCTTCACTTCATGTGACCGACGTTTATTTTGAGTAAATATCTATAGCTATTATAAGAAGGTTAAATGTCAATTTTGATATTTTAATTTAAGGTTTTGTATAATTTTTATTTATTAAATTTTTTAATATTTTTTTAATCTCTTAATTATGAAAAATATTTTTTTTAATTATTTTT